CGTATGCGTATGTATGTAGCGTATGCAGTACCGGCTTAGTTTTCCTGCGCTCTGGTGAGTAAAAGTAAGGTCTATGCATGATGGTCTCGTGTGGGTCATAAAAGTGGGTACCACTAACCAGACCAGCTTGAATCGCTATGGCAAAGCCCTTTTTTGCCCTGGTAGCCCAACCGCAATTTTTTTCTGATCTACCACGATGAACCAGGAACTTCAGTGTCGAAGTGTAGTCCCAACAGGAACAATGGCTACTCGGCCTTTGCTTGATTAGCGGTTTATTGTATCACGCCCATAAAGATATGTTCATTGCCTCACTCATGGAAGAGGTCCAAAGGATGGTGATAAAGCACAAAGAGCAAACAATTCTTTTGTTTCCCATCTGAATATTAGGGCCTTATCTTATGTACTGCTGCCGTATCGTAAGTAATATCGACTACCGTAGCATTCGCCACTATCCATCCGTTTGCAATGTTCATCTAATGTCAGGACCAGTACAGATATACCAACATGTTATGCCCACTTTCAACAGGTATTTTCCGACATCATGCAAATACTACATATACTCTGACTAGTTATAAGCGTCCGTGAGAAACATAGAATGAGCCAGTGCCAGAGCAAAGTAGATAGCTTCCATGTCCGTCAGACGAACAGCGGTTGAATAATCGCATAGAAAAGGGACTGATTTCACGCAGCCGGCGTGAAAACAGTAGGCGAGACACACCGTCAATCGAATGTCTGTGTTGTTTACCGTTTGTTTGAAATCTATACACGTCTTACTCACTTTGCTAGACTGGCAGAAATTAGGAAGAAAAAAAGCCTCGTATGAGAGGGCAACAGCTCCCTGACGGAAACGTACGTATGCATGTTTGTGGCGGATAACGTAACCCCATGAAATCAACAATAGTTAGTTACGTAGTTAGCAGATGAAAAATAGAGACAAGCTGAATCAAATCTGACAGAAAGTATAAAGGCGCGGAAGTGGAAGTTGCAGGAGCCTGCTAGACGCTGGAGTGGGGTAGAACTAAGCAAGCGATGGCAGGTAACAGCTATCCTCTTCTGTCGTTGCGTGGTCCTGGCTCCTCCAAACTCTAAACTCTGGGTCGGCTCAACACACTGTGCCTCTTATTCGCGGAGCGCCCATTTGCCTTCAGATAAATCGTACCTTCGGGACAGCCATTGCAGTGATGCGCCGCTGCTGCTATTCCTACTGCCCACGCCGCTGCCGCCGTTAAAGTCGTATCTGTAGCTAGCGTTAGAACGCCGCCATAGCCCCTTTTCTGACATTGCCTTACGCTGATAGTCCTCCAAAGCTACAGATCACGTTGCATACCGTCCTGGCATACGAATCTCAATTCGAATGCATGAATGGCTAGCGGCCCCGCCGTATTCGTTTCGGTACCCAACAGCTTCCTGCCAACGAGCGGGGAAAGACCAAATAGACGAACCAAACGAATTCCACTCCTTTCAGTTGAGTGTAGAGAGTGGGACATTATGGCTGCTCGTTCGAATTTCGCGATGCCCGGGTGTTGCATTGTAAATCCATCACTTAACACTGTGTGGCTTACAGCTATAGGAGATAGACGAGATGGACGGCGATACGAGCGGACACTTATGGGATATGTGTAGAGGACGTACGGAGACCACTGAATCTTTATCTACTGCGTGTTTGCGACAGATTTAGGGTCACATATTAGAACGTGTCATGGTAAATTATTTACTGGGAAACGCATATTTACGAGATATTTGCGTATGTACCTTATTTGTCGCTCTTCTTTGACACCTGTTGGTGATGACTGTGGAGGTACATGCATGCAGAATTAGCTCGAATATTTTCAGACGCCCTGAGAGACAGTTTGACGGTGCAGATAGATCAAGGAACAAAAATGGCCTCTCAGTATTTTAAATTTCTTGGGCTATCTGCTGGCACGCTCTTTGAAGCCTTGCAGAAAAACCATTTGTGAGCGTGACTGCTTTAATATTCAGATAATTAATTCGAATGTCAACGCAAGTGCTTCCGACTCGGCCATACAGCGTCTATGTATGCATACGCTGCTCATTTTAGAAAACCGATTCCGCTAAATTGATTCCGTTGTCAAAAAAAAATGTTAAAATGAACGACGTTTAGATATTGAGTCGAATTATTGACAGACAATTTGAACTAGTCAGGACTGCATCACAGCGACGCCATACACTACCCGATACAACGTATCTAATATATGGCCGTCCTTTCGAAGGTCAATATAACATTTATGTAGCAAGCGTCAACAAGCTCAAACTTCCGCATCTACTTTTATTCTTCACCAAACTGATTTCATTCAACATTGAAGTTCCAAGTTCTTTTGTATCATACACACAATTTAATTTTAACTCGATTCGTTCACTTAAATGTCAGCACCCTAGCCCATATGCCCCTGGTAACGGGTGTCACACAGCATTGCAAAAGCATAAAGGTCGGGCAGCAGCAGCAGCAGCATGCGACACACGAACAAGTTCGTGGGAACAAAATGAGATGAGAATTCCTAAGGAATTCTTATTTTCTTGCCCCTTTCGTTCCCGTTTTGCCCCGGCTCCTGCCCATTCCGTCTTCCCCTTCTGCCTCGTACTTAGTTTCTCCTGCCGATTCAGCCCCTTTCCGTCTCCCACAAGGTCGAGAACTGTTGGAGGGCGGGCATCAGACTTCACTGACACGCGCGCTACGGGCGTCGGCTGACGGCCGGGTTGACCGGGGAGCAGGCGAATGAGTAAACGAGCGTTCGGGCTGGCTTCCCTTCGTAAATAGCGTTTGTATAGCAGCCGTACGTGAGAGCGAAGTTGGATGCAGGCCGTGTCGGCCTGTAATATCTACCACGTTCGTTGTACGACCCACCAGCTCATTGGCAGAGCTAACCTAGGCACCAAACGTGCACACGCCAACATCACCATCAAAACCAAAGGGTCGTTTATAGGTGAATGAGACGACAACGGCGAAAAAGGCTCTATCGCGTTCCGCCCCTGCTGCTGCCGCCTCTATTCTTCTTCCTTCCGCACTACCATCCGTTTTACCGTTCAGCGGCGTTGGCAGGACTGTACTTCAGGCCGCGGCCAACAGACCCCTACCCCGACCCGTGTATGGCCTAAGACTGCCTCGGCGTCCCGAGTCTTCGCAAACCATGTCGTTATTGTTGTGGTTGTTGTTATCGTTGGTAACGTCGCTGTTGTGCGTGCTGCTGCCTTTGCTCGTTCACGGTCTGCCCATCGCACGCCCGCTCGACTTGTGACTTGAAAACGGCGATAAAAGAGGTGATGAGTAGCCACAATGATGGGCTAGCAGCAGGGAGAGCCGAAGAGGTGAAGCCTCAGCTAGTCTAGTTGGATTGCAAGGGGTAGTAGAGGGGTAGACCGAACGACGAAGCGTACGCGTACGGCAGGTCTTAAAATGAGAAAATTTGCTGCTATTGTAGCTGACCACGTTGCGGCTGCTGTTGCTGCTGCTATTATTAGAAGGATCACCATATAGAGAATATTCTTGGCACAGGCGCATTATGCGGGCAATGACACTGTCCTTGTCAATGAAGCTGTCAGATGAATAAATCTTGACTTTTGAAGCTGGTCGATGATTTTTTAGACGTATCCCGTTTGTGGGTTGTATACCCAATGACTATAATGCAGTATAACCAAACATTTTATGGGCGGAATAACCCAAACACTGGCAAATTGATATACCCATATTTTTCGTCTTATGTCTTTGACTAATGGCCTTGCGTATTCACAAATTTAGATTACGCGGTATACCATAGCAGGTGTACGAACGAAAGGTCTAACTGTTCAGGTAGCAATGCACGGTTAGGTAACTTTTTCATTTATCTCAAAAAATGTTTATGATAAAAAGCTGATAGCCATGGCAGCTGCCTGTAATACTGGTTTGCTGCTTTAACGCATTAGAAATAGGTTAAACAAGCTATGGCTTATTTGTATGTTTCTCGCCTAATATCATAATTATCTCTATACAGGGATAATATATTCACTTTAGATGTCGTCAAGATAGTATGTCTGAAGAGGCGAATTGCCTCTGTGCAGAGGGCATCATACTTATTCCACGCATCAATCGAAACGATTCATGAAAATTAAAAAATAAAAATACAATAGGCGTCGCTTCTTCATTTATGCGTAAAACGTTGAAAAATTCCACTGGGTAGGTAACGGAAAAGTTTATTTTAATTGAACGAATGTGTTGATCGCGATGCTCTTGCTGAAAGCGATGCAAGTAGAGACACAGTTTGTAATCTATTTAGTCTACCCTTATAATAAATGCCAAACCCCAGACTCAACTGCCCGTTCGGGTACCCATTTTGAAAAACCAAAAATCTCGTTTGCTTAGTCAGCAGTGTTATTATGTGTTCTTCGAGTTTAAAATGCCTGTCAAATAGGAGCTATGTTTTCGGCTCGTAGGCAGTCTTTCAGCAAAGTTTCGGATTCACCAGCGTATTGTATACCAGCTACTCTGTGGAGGTTGCGACATTCGTCTTGCTTAATAATAAAAAAGGTTGGCCTTTATTTGAATTTGAAATTGTAGCGAGTACATCCCCAGTTGAGGCCTTCTCAGACCCTGCTGTGATTGACTGAGCGCAACATGGAACTCGCTGTGAAACGCTGCTCTGTTTGTGGACAGCACTTAAGTCAAATTCGCTGCACGTCCATACCACGTATAGTTTCATGCCTTTAGGAAATTAAAATTATATCAATCTATTATTACACGATGGGCGTATTGATTGAACAGCTGCACAAAGAGCAGGTGGTGATACGTTTTTTTTTTTTTTTTGGAAAAAGTTTATCACGTGAAGCTGAATATCGAAAATAGTACAAAATGAACGGCCATGTTTGTCTACAAGTGGAAGTCGACTAAACGTCCAACAGTATCCTCGCTAGAAACATTGTTTTCATATTGGACCCACCTTACGTTGTTAATAGTCGATAATTATTCAGAGTGGAATATTTAATTACAGTATTAAAAAAAAATAATCTGAACATTAACTGATTGTAGCACTGCTAGATCTGCTCGCGGCATTCCTCATACTTGGAGGATTTTCCAATTTTTTTCTTATACTAGCTGGGGAAAATTATGTATCCCCAACAAAAATCTACACATTGATTAGGGTTATTATTTTTTTATTGCTTAAAACGCATGTGACACTCCACTATGAAATAAAAATATTACCCTATTTTCACTCTACAAATGAAAAAGCTACAGCTGCCTGTATATAAACTGCATCTAAGGTCTTGTTACGTCTAAAGCTAGTGTACTAGCTATACTTTGATCTTGTTTTTTAGATCTCCCTTTAGGTAGATGTGATCATTTACAGGAAAGGTAGAAAACTCAAGGTTCAATTGACTAGTGAAATTAGCACGTAGGATTGTGACGCGGATCCAGCACAATTGATTCTTAGTAAACAAACGTAAATATTTATCGCACGACAGATACGTTCATTTGGTAGTGAACGCTAAATCGGATCCAGTTAGGGTGAACATGAATGTCCTGAAATGGTTCATTAGATCTGGCATTATCGTTCCGTGTTTCCGAAGTCGATTCGAAGTTTGAAACATATCTATCTATGTTTATCGACGTCTCGGATGGAGAAGATGCATTTTAGCGGAATAGCTTTTGTTCCAAAACGATAAAACGGCAATCAAATGGAGGTGATAGGTTTTGTTAAGGGGGAGGCAAAAACTCTATGGAGGAGTCGTCATATGAAGAGGGCTTCACCTCCGGGTGGCACAACATTGAGCCAAGGTTTGGTCGAGGTCTGTTTCTGACTCTTTTATAGGAGCAAAACCTGCTGCCACATGTGCCCTAGAAAGAAAAGCATATTAATTTTAATAATCTTTAAGTGATTCATCTGTCAATTTCAAAGCAATCAGTTGAGCTCTTGTATTGTAAAAGGGGTTAACGACTAACAGGGTGCATACCAACCTATTAAGGAGTAATCGAAGCTGGGTTGCACAAGACCGTCCCACTGAGTTTTTTATCATACCGAGAAAAACTGAAAAGTGTCAGTGAGTAGTTTTGAACTCGTTCATGAGATACGAAAATTCTGTTAATTTTTATTTAATGATTATTCATAATGCAATATGAAATAAAATGAAAATTCTGTAAAAAAAAAAATATCTAAAAATAGTTACTTTAAGCTATAGTGTCTTTTGTCTTAATAAGGTCTTTCGTTTCATGTATTCCTATACTTGAGTCATACCGGTAGACACAGAAAGCGATACTAGCTGAGATATGTTCATGATATGTTTCCTCTTTGAACATCGTATACGCTATTTTAATGGCTTCTATAGCCATGGAGCTGCCGGAGTTTTTGGGCATCCTGTAGTAGTACTGGGATAAACGAGCGAGGTGCGATGAAAGGTCAAGTACCGTGAATTTGTTCGAGAGGATTGCAGTGGATGGCCGCGAGGAGGTTCCCGTCAGGAACAACGCGCACAAATCGAGGTTCATCTCCAGGCACCGGCCGATTCTCAGGATACAGCGTCACATTGATACTATTAACGTGCGAATCAGAAAGGCATGCGAGAAAGTTAACTACCTGTTCGGATTTTTTGTTTCTGCGTTATGCAGAATTCCTGAAAAATCGTGACAAAATCTTCTAATCACTGCAAGCAATGTTTGCAGTGATGTATTTTTTTATGTACAATATAATTTACACGGAATGCGCTTAGAGCCTTTCTTGCAAAGCGCTTGAGCGTGTTCAGGTTGTTCGAACTATGCTAACGGATACCGTCCATTGCTTACAGCTTACAGGAGTCGAAATAACGTTAAAGGTGTTATTTAAAATTGTTTTCTTTTTTGCTTCCGTTACTGCTCTAATATCGGGAAGATAAAAGGGCTGTCAACGAATTCATTGTCGAGAAACGGCAACGTATCGATAGTCTAATGAAAGGTCAATGACAGTCTTGAAAAGGTGCTAAGGCACTTCGTAAGCAACGTGAATCGAAACACGTACTCCCTTTAAACAGCGGTAACATAGTAGAGGTCTGCATTATTTCCAAGCGTGGCATGAAGAGATCGGAGCCTAGGTTTACGCTCGTAAGTGGGCGTTTGTTGGTATTATTCTTCTGAAAGTACCCTTCAATATCGATGCTCTCTGGGCACTTTAATGGTTGGAATTAATTCTCATAGAATGTCCGTTAGATCAGCGCGTGTCATTAGTAAGATGCAACAGCCAAAAAAGGAGAAATAGAAGAAGTAAGTCTGACGGTCCCTGCGCTACCATAGTCGGACAGCTGACGGTGGTAACAGTGAGTTAATGACAGCAACGGCGCCAGGTGGTTCTAAGCTACAATAGTAGTAGCTGGAATTTAGGACTTCTTCCGTACAACCAATTTTATCTTTGTCGCCGAAAAGCACCGCCATCGTAGTCTGCCACCTTTCAAATTAAGGACCTCACGGTGACGTGGCGTGGGCACATGTGCCAAGGTAAAATCCAGAACAGGTCAGTGGTTTTAAGCTGCAATAAGTATATCTCTTCACAATATATTGGTTACACTGCCATTTTAGCTTTAGGAAATGGCAGCCACCGTTCAGTTGCTAAAACAAGCAACCTGGCCCTCACACCAGCACATCAGGACAGTGTGATCCGTTAAGACAAAGGGGCTCGCAATTTAGGTGTTTGCTCTGAGAGAATATATATATATATATATATATATACATAATAAGGCATTATCAGACGTATCTTACGGGTATTGCCTCAGAAAATTATGTATGAACTTCCGGTTGAGTTTCGTGATAATAACTAAAACCTTAAGAGTGTTATGTGGGTACGCAGCTTTCAGGGCGCACTTCTAGCGAATATAAGTTGTGACTGACATCTTTGACTGTCGCTGGTGTCTCATGAGCGCTGCAGAAGTTACACGCCAACGGAGTTATTTATTTAAACTTTTATAGCAAGTGTTCGTAAGAGAAAAAAGCAGGATAAACTCGATTGAAATGTAATAATTATTATCGTGATTATTAGATTTGATTTGACGAAATACGCTATTTCAACAGCAATGATGGGTAAGGGTGCATATATATATATATATATATATATATATCGAATTCTCGACCAACTTTGAGCTTGACTCGAAAAACGAGCTAACAGTTTCAAATACTGAATATAATAGTTAATTGTATGGCAAATCTACCTTGTCGAAACGAATAGGGCGTGTACAAAGCTTCAGCACAACAGCAACAAGGTACGGCCACTTTGCCAACTCTTCATGATCCAAAAGCAGCACCATTCGATTGCATGTGGGTTCACCCATGTACGCAATTGTATTGTTAGGTCTGTTTTACCACAGAATGGTAACCTATTGGGTTTTGCAGTAGAGTTCCATGTGAAGCCGCGTCTCTGAGTGACTTCATTCGATTATATACCCTAATGCATCGTGTATTAATATATGCGTGAGTGTCCTGATTATACTGTTAAATAGCTGTTCGTTAAAAATACGTTTTTAAGGCTTCTGCCATATTTCTTTCTGTCATGGCGCTCTTTTTCTCTAATGACCCAGAGCAAATATAAATGTGCGTCAACCCCATCCGTTTTCATCCGCTTTGTTTCAGTGTATTGCATGCCCTGCTTCTCTCAGCTCCGTTTAGTTAAAAGTTCATGAACGGAGGAATGAACGAATGGATTCTTCATTGAACAACACTAGTCACCCATTCGCCCACGGTCAAACTCCCGGACCTCCGGACAGGCTGTACCCCCGGAGACCCCTGGCTGATACTATTCTAGCAGTTTCGGCGTTTACCACCAAATTGTGTTATCGTTTTGATAACATGTGTCTGCTTGCACGCATGCGTATGTAGTTTGTTAGCCGGTACTAATAGTGGCAGTCCAGTAGCGCCTGGGTTAATATATATTAATTGAGAGGTGGGAAAGACACAAGGACGCTAGCGGCGGAAATAATATGGCCGAATACTTCGACGACTAGTTCGGCTTGTGTGGTGCAACGAAATTCGACGAAGCTGCCATAGAATGTAGAGTCTGTTAGTTAGGGATGCGCGCTCTATTCTGTATCAGCTTATATTCATACAATCGTACAGGTATGAGGTAGAGTAATTGCTGAGCGAGACGCTATGTTGTGGTTGTGGAGCCCATAGATCCGCAGAATGAAACGCGAACAACAATGTATTCGGCTATGTGTATGTACGCTTCAAAGGCCGCAGTTCCGGCTGGTGCGAAGAGAGGCTTCTTTCAAGTAGGTCCTGTTTCGACATACTGGAGTAGATCGTTTTGGCTAGACAAAAGTTATTGGGATCGGGTAAACCCGAAGCTGCAGCAAGGTGGTGACAACGTGTGGTGCAGGCGATAAGACGTGTGCATTAGTTACGAACATTGGCGAAGTTTCAAGGCTTCGATGTCACATGGTTTAAACAAATGGTAACGGGAGCGGTCAAGCTTTCCTGGCTTCTAAATTGCACTTCACGAGCGAACGCAGTTTAGTTATTACTTGTACCAAGTCTTCAGGTAACTGCGACTCTATGTTGATTGAATGACACCGCGAAATAATGAATTTTAAGCGAAGGATACCGTTTAGCACTGAAAATCAACATTCAGTGATTAAGTTCCTGTTTTCTGAAAATGAAAGCATGAATCGAACGTATCGAAGACCAAGTAAGACACTGGGCACAAAGGCCTTCAGCGAAGCACCGATTCAGTACTGTGGCAACGGAAACTGGGACGCTGAAGACGACGGCAAAGATGATTACATCGCGAGAATCTAGACGGAAAATCGAGCAGCCGTATTTATGGAAACTTTTAAGGAAAACGGTGCATGAACAAGTCGCCGCAGAAAACGTGTGATGCACTCTAGAAATAATTTTCGCGAGTACTACCAGAAAAAAAACTAGTACGTTTTCGTCATACAGAAGACATAGATCAGTTAGAGTCGTCCATCAAAGAGAGATCAAGCGAGAGAATGGCGTGAAAGAAGAGTGGCAGCGGCCACAGTGACAAAGAAATTCGCAAATACGGTCTTTTCAGTTGATATTCATAGTCGCAAAATGTATCATAGGCATGTATATTGCCGTTATATTGCAAGCGGTCCGCATACCTCCAACTCTTGGCAAGCCTTATGGATATATGACGCCGCAATCGCAAGCACACAGTGAGGTTACCTGACGGCATGCTGGGACCCTATGGTCACGCTTTGCTTACGGCTTGCACAGAAGGGAACGGAAGCGAGCTTTGAAACCCCATAGCCTCTAGGTTTAATTAATACGTATGATTTCGATTGACCCCATGGCTTAAGGGCAGTAGAAAGTATAGCGTTATTGTAAGTTCTCTCAGACAAGCCGTCGATAACGAAGTTAAACTTAGCAGTGCAGATCACAGATACACAGATAGTTAAGTGCTCTCAACATGTACACAATAAAATGACGTCCATACAGCATCCACCCAAACGTAGTTATTGTACCATATAGGGTTTACCGTAAAATATTTCGATCGGCTAAATAGCCCTGGGCCAATAGATTAAGAAATGGGTATGAAACTCCGACGATCAGTCTAAATAAGAATTTTCAAGAACCATGAAACTATTGTTGAATCAATTATACGGTCAAAAGTACCTTTTTAATTGTCAGAGGCCGCAGGTTAACTAGTAGAAGCTTAGGCTTCCGTTGTCAGAACAGGTATATAACCTTAATATGGCTATGATTCTGTGCTAATATATGGAACATTATTGAAGGCTGCAATGGCATTATCCGTTTTTTGGACAGACCGTAGACGATCTAGAGTTCTGAAGGTCGAAATTGCAGTTCTAGGATGTTGGTTGCGGTAGTGAAGATGCATTTGAAATTGGCTAGTAGATTTTCTGGTTTTTTGCTAGAGTAAAACTTAAAGTTCCTTACAAATTTCACACTTCTTCGATTATTGTTGCACAGACTTGAAAAGATCTTAGTTCTGGTCGAGATCTGTATTGGATGTACGATGAAGCGATGTTGTCCCAAACGTAGGTTATTAAAATATGTTTTTGCATCTCGGAAATCGGAATTGTTTATTGCCAAGTTAGACGTCTTCGGCAAAATTGATACATCCCAACTTGCGGTACCGGTAACTGAACACTAGATAGGAGTAACCCGCAGGATATTCAATTCATCCAGGGATATTTTTTACGACTGTTGCGAGTAATAAAACCGGGAATATATTTTTCGGCTCATTTTAACTTCGTCGCACAATCCCATAAAATACAGTTGACATTACCATCAAATCACAAAAAAAACCTAGCGTAACAAATAATTGGTTGAATGGTGACATCTGTGTCGTAAATGCAGCAAAATGGCGCATTTCTCGGTTGTCTGGCTCTTGGGACAAATCTTGGTCTCGGCCTCTAAGTTTGACGTTGATATTCTGAACGTCTCAATGACGCTTGAACAGTCTCCAGCTGGGTCGTCACTGAGATTTAGCGTGTTTTGTGCCATACGATTTAATTGACGATGTTTCTACAACCAATGAGAGGAACATACTATTGTTTACATAAAATATGAGTAACGAAATCGGTCGTATGTTTTATGCGCGTTGCTTGCTAGAGTATCAGCCCTCGATTCGAGTAAATTTTTAAAAAACAGAAGACGTCGTTTTTTGTCATCGAAACGTCCATAGACGATCGATCTAAGCAAGCGTATTCGAACGAAATAGAAATTCGTTGCCAGGTGAATGCGTGCCGGTGATCAGCGTATCTAAAAAACTTACAACCCCGAGATGCTTTTGTAGACGTAGGATAGTCGATACTGATTGTCTGCAACCTTTTGAGCTGTCGTTTCCAGACAAACGTGATCGTATAGTTCCTCATCAACGCCCGCATTACTTCGCGCCAGATGAACGACGCTGACGCGAAGGCCTGATCTCGTGAAGTACTGCAGATTTAACAAACACAGAAAAAGATCTTCTAATAAATATATATATATATATATAATAAAATAATAATGATAAATAATATCATCAATAAAAGATAACTCATAGATAAAAAAGACAATATCGCCCGATTGAAGAACCGCAAAGAGCGGAAAGGTCCGACATCTTCGAAATAAATCGGTGCACCAATACAATATTATACGTCCATAGGCTAGAGTAAGCTAAGCTTTATTCCATGCTGCTTTATTTAAGCAGCTAGAGAGGTCTGTCCCTGTGTTATTGAATGATATATATAATATGTAATAATAGTATAAAATTCATATATATAATGATAGTATAAAATTTTCAACAAGGTTATAGCGTACATTTAGAACATACGCCTGGGTATGCCCCTATGGTGTTATTGTTTCCTTGGTTATTGGACTACCATCTAAATAACACACAACTTTGCTCGTTCCCTGCCACATCAGATGTCATCGATACGGAAAAGTGTGATATATTTAGAGTGATTTATAATACTTACAGGACGGTCTCGTGCTTGCAAATGATTCAACGATCTATCGCTGTCGGTGTGCGATCTAAAAGCTAGGAGTAGCAAACCACCCGGCTAGCTAATGGCGCTATAAACGTGTTCCATATTGTTTATTCCAGTAAAGCTAGCCATGATCGTAAGTTCCGAAGTTATTATCACTGTTATTCGGCATCACGATGAAATCCCAATGCATTCACTCCTACAAGCCAGTAGCTACCTGAGTGTAGGTTATGAAATATATATATATATATATATATATAGCTAGCTATAAAGCTAAAATTCGGAATTGGTTCGTGGATAAGGCTACCTAGATTGTTTGTGTGGCTTAGCAATGTTTGGATGAACGCATTCTTCAGGGAGTTCCTTCATATGTCCTCTTGGACAGACATGACGCATAAACAAAATACGTATAGAAAGACTTCACGGAATATACTACATATGATACTACAGTGATTTGACGCATTAAACATATCTGTGTCAGTTGTATTTGATCGGGGCATTGGCATCAGGGGCGGAGAAGGATTCTTCGACTTAGACAAAAGATAGCATGCCGTTAAGTCCTTTAGGCAAAACCTACATTTCTGAATGCGATGACAAAATCCGATTTGGCCACACCTGGACATCGATCATTGGCTACGATCGGTATAGAGGTGAGAGGTAACAGGATGAATAGCAGCTTCATATGTAGTAAATTGGAGTTCAGTACACGGATATATCGGCCTGCCATGGCTGCGACGAGTGACTGCGAATTCATCGTATTAAACTCTGGACCCGAAATCAATCAAACAACAACAACAACAACAGCCCCATACAATACAATGAATTAGTAGAGATATTTTTTTTTGGACGAGTATGAGCTAAAGTCGATCACGATCCATTCATACAACTAGAACGAATGCCAGAACACGCTTTTCACTAAAATTAAACATTTTTCATATAGAATAATTCGTTTCTATCCTTGTGGGAAGGGCAGTTTGAAGAAGGACAAATTAATACCCATGGCGGCAGGGTGTGCCCTGATCGACCCCGTAAAAAGGTCGTATGAAACAGATCCGTCGTGTAGCTGTTAATGGATCGATGATTTATTTCCAAAGGAGTTGGGTTTCTGTGGTTAGGATCGTTGTTGAATAGCGGATATACTAATGCATTTGCCAATTTTCATCATCGTTTTTTTTTATGAGCCTGCTTTGTGCTGCTACAAAAAGTTCGGACAAAGAATCCGATGCTGTGTTTGACCCGAAAGTCTTATTTTCATATATCAATTTGTTACAGAGTTTCCCATTGATATTCGGTGAATATTTATCTTATCGAAAAACATCAAAGTCGACGATGTCGTGGTGTCAGCTTCAACAAACATATACCAGAATATCATGCAACACGTAGACATTTGACATCAGCTATCTATCTCTAGTGCGGCATAAACTGACCGCAAGATAAATGGCTTCATAAATGGGTCGTTCGTTTGTCGAATAGGTTGAGTTTCGCTTCTGACTTTGTACAAGTCTATCTAGATCTTACGAGTATTTCGCCATTAAATCAAACCTCGTGTATTCATACTACGTTTTGCTGTAGTGGACCTTGGCAAGGTGAACGAATGGGTCGCCCGTGGACAACACCATACTTCGAATTAGACCGCTAAAAGCTATGTCAAACATCGATACCAGCGCTCGTGGTGTTTGCCGAATCAGCAATGTTCGTCGATTATCGAGATTTTACTTCAGTCTTCCGGACAAGCCGAACACTCCAGCTGGTTACTCCAAGAGTTCCTTGTAGTAGTGCTACCATTTCACCGTTTTTTCCGATACTTCAGTAAACGAAGGTTTGTGCTTGATCTTATTTTTTCTGTTATTTTTCTGTCCAAATTGTAATCTTGACTGTCGCTATCACACACCGATACACACACACACACACACACACACAGACACATACGCACATAGCTCGACACCTCTAAAGAGACGCACGACTGTAACAAGTGGTGTATATATATATATACAGACCAACGTTATTCAATATATGCAGCAGTCCAAGATTCTTCTGATGCTAGATAGTATCACCTACTAACAATCAGTCTGACTGGTTAAAGGGGTGTTCGCCTAAAACAGCTAACTTACTGTCCCAGGCTCGCCGTCTTCTCGATGCCTGCCGAGATCCTATCGTAACTACCTATTTGCTTTCACTTCTTCAGCCCTGTTGTATGGTATAAGGCAGTGTTCTCTTTGAATTTCGTTTTCATCGACCTAGAAGATGGTACACGTCACAATAGAGAACATTGCCAGCGGCGGTGTCAGCAGCAGCAGCAGCTGAGTGAGACGTGATGGCAAAAATTTTCACTCAAGCCTGGTAGGCCTCCCCTTGGCGTCCCTTAGAACGCACTATGTGACGCCGTACACGCAAGTGACATGTTGCTTGTGCTATAACAACACATTCTACAGTGGTGTTAACACTCATTATACGACGATGACACTGAGTAGCGAACGCAGCGTTGGATTTAGCTACTTTTACCTGTTGCTCATGTTGTCTGTTTCGCTATACTTTATGTATACTTTGCCAGCTGCTGCTGTAAGTATGCCATGGGCAATGCTAGGCTTATTATTGTTCGAGCATGGGACACGACAGCGAACAACTGCGACAAACGTACGAGATGCGGAATAAACTAATCGTCAGACGCCAGCACGCAAACAAAGCGTGAAACGTAAGGGCTTACGGGTGCAGATTGGTGGAGATGATATCGGCAAGAGAGTAAAGCATGGCCAAGCGACCGAGCCGACAACTGGCTGATCTATGAGCAAGCAGGGACAGCGGAAATCCGAACAAGGAGCGTACATGTCGTACGAGAAGAGAGAACATAAATTAGCGGTCTTGCCTTGCTTTGAGTGAACGAATTAGGCTATATAGCTGTTAGAAGAAGAGTACGAGAATGGGTTGTGGGTCAAGCGCGTATTTCTTGTTCAACAGAGAGCGAATACACTTTTTAGCATCTACATATGTGTAGCGAAGTTGGATAGAGATTCGTATGACGCTTTGAAGATCTACGGCATACCACGACTGTCGAACGATGCTATTTTTTCCTCACGAATCGACGGACCGCTGCGCAGCGGACCGCGGAACTGCAGAACATTCTGGTTGCTCTGCACAGGAGGGGTGGTTGGGGTAGCTGGTAGCAGGCCACCGCACGCCATACATTGAGGTGTGGTTTTAGAAGTAACCGGAGAACGACGGCAAGCGAAACAACAACGACAGTGCCTGAAAGGCAAAACAGGTAACTGTATGAAGCAGTGCAAACTTTGGAAAAGACCGAAATGGATGGAATATAACGATTCTGGTGGTAACAGGTTCGCAGTAAGTACTAAGGGATTTTGGCACGTAGAATGAAAAATTTGCATAAAATTGCAGGTTTTGAGTAAAGAAAACAAGTTAGAGTGAAAAAAAATTAGCTGGTACTCATAAACAGTACTATACTGCACTAGACTCAACTGACTCATTAATCGAATCAGCTGAATGTATTATATAGTCGTCTCAAGTTGAAGATCGTTTCCTCTGTATAACTCTGTTTCGGCTGATCATCAGGACGCTAGTAGCTGTTATTATTTGTCGCAGTAAGCTAGCTGCCATACTGTCATCAGAAAATATCTTCTTGATTACCTTTCGAAACTTTAAACGACCCCTGTAAACTCTAAGGGCGTCTAATTAAATACCCCAACGTAACTCTCAGTGTTGTCTTATGGGGAACACTATGTCATCACACAAATAAGAACGTTTCGGTAATCTCCACATGTGTGGAGATTACCAAAACGTTCTTAGTTATTAGTGGAAATGCCTTGGATAGATCAAATTGGACAGACGCGTTGTGGCGCACCTCTCGTTGATGAACTCTATCGACAGCGTTTCCTGATACCCATCTTCAATATATTACTTTTTCTACGGCGATCATTTTGGTGGATGGTAGCCGATTCATTATATTGCATATGAGGGGATTCGTAGCGTCTATACAACTAATCGTCTATGAAGCGTCTATCCGTCATAAATATTGGCTGCTTTGAGCTGAATACCCGTACCGATCATATGCCAGCTACATCCCGAAATTACGTCCCGCTATATTATTACCATTTTTACAGGCATGTTAAAGAGCGTACACATGTAACAATCGTGGTACAGAGTGAACAAGACTATTACAAGTTGGTCGTAAGCGACCAACTAGATCAGTTTGACTTCGTATGTTTAATTTACCTTTACCTGGTAGCACGGTGGCACTAAACTTACAGACACATGATGGTCTAGGTACAAATCCAGGCGTAGATAAGTTTTGTCTCGTGTTAAGAGTCAGCCATTTGAAATAATCTTCAACAGGTCGAGTACAGACTGGTTGGCTCGAAACATTAATTTCAATCTTTGCGCATCTATATAGTGCAATACGCGGCGCCCTAAAGCAATAACTTTGGCGGCGCATATATGTATGTATAGATACTTTAGTTCATACCACTCAATTATAGAAATATTACAAATAACCCAAGCGCAATTGTGGGCTTTTAGATTATGCAGAGTTCCTGTACCCTATGTACTCTTGCAGCCGTGGTACTAGCTAGACAAGTCCAGTGAATACGGCTTAACGCCGTAGCAGGTACTTCTTGAATGCAGTACACTATCCTACTTAAACGATTTGTCACTTGCTCCTTGTTTCGTATTGGTATTCAGTTAAATTTTTAGTTTCAGCCATTATATAGGGCACAAATTAATTTCCATATTAAATTAAGGGACAGGTGAGTCAGACTGTTTCTAAATACGCGCGCCCATGTTGGCTTTTAGCCAGCGCTGAAACCTGCATAGATGAAATATGCAATATCACTTTGACGGAAGTTCTGCTCTCTCCAAAGTTACATATGAGACAGGCTCGGGTACAACGTATTAATTAAAAGTAATATAAAGTTTCTTGTAGAAGTTTATGCTCTATTTCTACGTGTATACTCTACATTTCTTTTCAGCCAAGCGTCTAGCTGAAAATAGCTAACACACTCATTACGAAAATATTCGTTTTAACAAAGATGTTTTGGTTAAAGGAATTTAAGGGTGCACTTTGGATCCAAGCGGGAATTGATCATTCGCTACCCCCAGTCATGTACCGTTGCTATTACAAGACCAGTTTCGTCGCTTTCGTTTACCCTTAAGTTGTAAAAGTGCTTCTTAACAATCTCTATTTCCAGTTATTAAAACGTGGCGCGGCAGACCCGCAACGAACGCATAGGCTAAAACTAACACAGTAGCAGGAAGTAGAATTGTGCCTAAGTTTATTGGACATAACAAAACCATAACTGGAAGTTCGGCTTCTTTTTTCATAATTAATAAACACTTTGATTATCGAGACTACGAGCCATTGGAATAGCATTTATGGAGGGGGTTTCGTAATCTTGATAACCACCATTCTACAATAGACATAAGATTGATGGAGTTCGAATGTAACTTTCCCCATTTTGTATCTAAGTTGGGATTAAATTTTATGTTGTTAAAATTAAGATACAAGACCCAATCTACTTGAGCGTCGTAGTCGTAACGTACCGTTGTATGTCTTTCGGCCGATCTGTTGCTGCGATCTTCACTATGCCCCCTAGAAGGCGCTAGCATTTCCCTTATGGACAATTGCCGAGCGGTATGTTGCGGCGTTGCAATGTCTTCTAGATTAAAGCCGCTTAGAGGTAGAGCCTCGCACGACGGTAGTTGAGTACGGCGTAGCGGCAGTTATTAGCGGTTGCTAAAGACGTTCAAATAAATTCGAAACGATTCCATCAGCTCCTGCTGGGTACAGGTGTGCGTGTGCATGTGTAGCTCAGCGAGGCTTACCGCCACAAACGGATCCTCTACAGACACGTAGTAACTGAGGTAGCGATGCCCTGATGCGCTTCATGTTTTGCTGGGGCATTTCTTCTACCATAGCAGCAGCCTGCCATTGCAACATCAGCAACGGAAAAAAAATTCGAGATAAGGCGCTAGGCGGCCTCGATTGGCGGATCGAATGATAGGAAGTGAAGTTGGTTGGAAGAGTTCAGAAGAACAATGTACTTGGAAGTCTGCGGAGGAACTGTTACCAAGAGTACATATATCGACAAGGCGAAGTATAGCAGTAGTAGCGTCGCTGGTTCGGAGTGAGCTCATGGGCTAAAATACGGAAGAGACACGGCCAGCAAAGCGGGATATTTGAGGCAGCTCTGGTTCATCTCACATGAAGTCCGAAGGGACGGCCGAAAGGAGAACAACAGAGCGAGAGAACGGCGGAGAATTAGGGAATGTATATCGGAAGCATTAGGAAGTTTTCGTTTTTGGAGTGCCAGCAAAAAAGTGAGACTCAGGTGGTAACAGCGGATTACTAGCAAAGTCGTGAAACCGTATGAGGGCGCCAAGCAGGTACGAGAACGGTAAGTGAAGAAATCTTACGGGTTTCTCGAAGCAGGCCAGCGCAGTTGCTATTCACACTCGTCCCACTTCAAACGTACCCCAACTTGCAAGACAAGCGGGACGAAACATAGAAAGATCCAGCATACGCCGCTTAAAGCATGGCGCAAGTTAGATGACCAATGCAAGCACACTACATCCCAGTTGCAGTTGCAGTTTCAGCGTTATACACGGCCTTAACCATTCCCTCCGCAGCCATGTCTGCTGCATCTGCGGTTTGCCATGCGGTACTGGTAATGAGAACCCGTGGAGATTCTTTTAGACTCGTGCTTGGAAAACGCAACACCAGAGGCGATTCTGGGTCGTTTTTGAGTTCTCTTCGGTTCGATTTGTCTCCCTTCTGCTAGTTCTCCCTGCATACCTAGTTCATCTACCCTTTACCCACCTCTATCCACCTATTATAAAGCAATTGCGTTGTGTTTGTCCGGCAAGACCACATAGCCCGAGACGGGGATGGAGGGACGAAGGTGAAAATGGGGAACGGGAAACGTGTGAGTCGTGTCGTGAACGAAAAGCTCGTTCGAACCGTTTCGCCTGTGTTTTGAGCGTTTCCTGCCTTGGTGTGCCCTTGCAATCAGTTCATAGGCAGCTTTGAGGGAGACGGCGGGGCGATTTAGCTAGCCAAAAAGGACAAGCAGTCATTTCGCAGTTTCGTTTGGAGACAGAAAAGTTACTTTTGCGGCGCCCTATTCCTGTCTACGTGCGTATATATGATTTGGGCTTCGAATATGCTCTGCATACACAACGATGACATACGACTGTCGAGGCCATTGCAGCGTGGGATGTGGTTGGGGTCGCCCACCTACTACAATCGGGGACATCGACACTGAACAATGAATGGCATTCTCAGAGTTAGAAGTTGACTTCTTGTCCTACTTCGTCTTTTGTCATCCCATGTAGGATGAATAATCGACCGAAATCTCGGGTCTTACTAGCGACGCTTACACGGTGGTGTCCAAGATACGTTGTCGGCCCACGTGTGTATAGGGTCCGTGGGCTGTACGTACTAGAAATTATAGCAACTTGGGCGAACAGTGAATCAGACAAACGGATAGCTGCAGTCAAGAGACTTCTCTTTTCCTTTACCGTCCTTTTTGCCTTTGCTCCGCCTCTTCCTTCTAGATTTTATTTAAATAAATAGAAGGGAGGAACCCCACGACGCTGACAATTTTAGGAGCAATAAATATCCATACATAATGGTACAACAGCGCTACCAACAA